GCGGCTCGAAAACCCGCTAATTAACAAGCGTGCGAGCTCATGAATTAAACATCTAATTTTTTATAACTTTGTCTTATCGCTGCTTTCTGTTTCGTCATCAGGACCTCTTATTTCTGGTTAATTATGCAAAAGGATGAAAGGTATCTCATCGTGGGATTTGAATTTTTTATTTCGAAGACGAAGCTGTCTTTATTACAAAAATTCGGGTAACTTGGTAATTGGAATATCTCGAATTACTCGAAGTTGTACAGATCTAGTTTCAAGCGACGGAGTCAACGTGATCTTTGGATCCGCTTCGAAATACACTGGATGACCCGATTCCATGGAACGCTCGAGCGGAAAATCCGCTCGCTTATCTCGCGCATCGCGGATAATCGACGTTGCAAAATCGCGAAATAGCTCGAGTTCGAGCGAGCAATTTTTTCCCTACGATACTCAGCCGTTCTGTATACATACCGAACAAAAGAACACGCGCGCCCCGTCGATGGGCATTAGAAAGCATTAGCGTTAAGTATCAAGAGACAGTCACCCAGTCGGAATAATTAGGTCTCTCGAATTCTGTGTCTCGACGTAGCCAAGAAAGAAAGTGCGCAAACTATGTTAAGGAATTCACCTTGCTATCTTGTTTACAAGTGAAAATATCTAAATGTTATTTATTTGTTTCAATTATCTTTTGTTCCATTTGAATTTCACAATTACTTCTAATTAATAATATTAAATATTTCGTTCGGAATATTAACCCTCGAACAGTGGACCACGGAGACAGCTCTAATTTTAATTTAATTCTATATTTCATATTATTTTCATTTTCTAAATTTGATGTGTTGTTTTAAAAATTTTCTTCTAATATATAAAACTCTTTCGTTTAAAAATGATGCATTTAATTTGAAATTAACATTTGAGTCTCGATTGACCCAGTCTGCGCTGTTCAAAGGTTAATATAAAAAGATGGCATTAACTTTTAAATCCAACACACATTTCAAGTAATCTATTAAATACCATTTTCTTATTCACCTTCGAGTCAAATGCAACGAACGCAAATGACTGATTACGAAATTAAACAGAGCAAGCAGCAACGTAATCAAAGACGACATTTGCAATCGAATCGATAGAAAGTGAACACTTGGACGTATTCGAATCCTCGGTTTCCCTTCATCCATCTGGGATGGCATTGCGGGTCGCGAAACAAGGGAAACAGGAAAAGAATGACGCGCCGTTCAAGTGACATGAATGGAAACAAAAGGACGAGCGAGCTTCATCGTCGGCCATTAGAAAGCATTAAGGATAGAATGCAACGTGATGGTTGGTAACATAGTCGCAATTAAACTCTTGTATACGCGCACGCGATCGCATGCCGATTGCCGAGCAATTATCGCGCGTTGTTTTCACAATAGACGGGACGTTCCGTAGCAACACCCTCTACCACCAATTGAATTTTTTACGTCAACTACGAGCACGCCGTGTGCATTTTTAAACGCTACCTGCCACCCTTTCGCGTGTAATTGGTTAGCACGGTGAACGTATACGAGCTCTGCTTTTCATTGATTTTCTATGCTTCGACAATGTATTCACCAGAGACTTTAAATTGATTTTGAATTATTTATGGATAATATAGGGCTTGTTAAATATTTTCCACGCGAGGGGTGAAATCTCCTTCCCTTATATTCGCATTTCTCTTACAAAAGCCTACCACCCTTAGTTCTATATTTATGAACGTGAATTAATTTCAAAATACAAATTTCAATTTACACACCCCTGTTTGGTATCTTAAAATTCTTGAATCTCGGAAATTAAAATATCGTGAGAATTTCTACGTCAGCTTGGAAATGATGAAAAACTGAATAGAAGAATTTGTGGATTTAAGACAGAATGTTATTTCATTAGAGACGAATGGTGAAAAGCGAGGAGGAGATGTCACCGAACGATCAGAAAGTGAAGCGTAGAAGGGAAAGGGAATGGAATGGTACCATGGAAATGGCACGATCTGCAATGTCCGCAGAACAACATGAAATGCGATGTAACGACGGTTTCACTGACGGACAGGATACCGCAGCTGCAATTATTTCACGACGTCTCGTGGTTTTGGTATACAACCTCAAGTTTCTCAACTGCTTCGACTGCATTCAATGTTACGGATTCGTTACCTTCAGAATTATATAATGTTTCATTGGAGAAATTACAACTGCAGAAATAAAATACTTTCCGATTAACAAAAGGTATTTCTTATTTCAGGAAAAATTTGTTAACTGAAATTAAGAAATATTCAATTGGATCATTGCAAAAGTAAATGATCAGTCTTCAAATTAATTTATACGATAATTAAGAAATAATGCTACTCAGAATGAAATAAAAAGTTATTAAAAACAGTTGTTTACTCCACATAATAAAAATCAAACTGAATGTTCAATAGTTAATACAAATAAATATTAGCCTATCAAACGTATGTATTTAAATCACATTGAACTTCCCAAATTTATTCCACCGTGAATCAAACTGATTTATCAATCAATCAAAACAAGAATTATTTAAATCAATCACCTCGTCATTCTACGGAAATTAAAGAGATTGTGCTGACGGAACAAATTGTGCCAAACAGGGCGGATTTTTATGTTCCAAATATAAATACTTTACGATCGTACGTGGACGATGAAAAAAAGGAAACGCGAAACTCTGTTCCGTCAGTTGATTATAAAATTTATGCAATTTCGTTGAAAACGATAAAATTGTTTTGCCATCAAGTAAATTGCAGAAAAAAAGAATCTCGCGATACACGCTACCACCGCGTTTCCTCCATTGTAAATATTTAACAGGAAGCATTCAAAACTGAGATGCAATTTATTACGTCGATCTATTATCATGTGTAAATTGTAAACAGCAGCCTTTTGTGCCATTGAATTCGCGATTTAACCTCGGATCGCGAATGCTTGTCAATCGTATTGCTCTTTGTTCATAGCAATGTTAATGTTTAATAAGTAAATTCAGCTTTTCATTTGAATCAGTATCTTTTTCAATTTTCGTTGATCAATATTGCAACATTGATATGTTTACAATGCGGTGAACTTTCGAATTACATTATACATATTCAGAGATCAATAATTGTACTGTTGAAATCAAAAATGATCCGCAGTAATCTTAATAAAATATAAGTTTAAATAAAAATTTGTGATCTTCTATTTTCATTCTAAATTACCTAAAAATTGTCCCTCTAACCATAATTTTATTTCAGACGTTAACTAAAAGTCTAAACCCAACCTCCTAAAAATTAATACATCAGAGTTATACACACCTAGGTATTTTATTATTAAAATAATTGCGTTCACGCTTATTTCAAACAAACCATCTACATTTATCAAAAGAGAATCTTTTCACCTCCAACAGTACAATAGCAACCACGATTCAGTGGAGAGGTTGAAAACTGTAATCGTAGAAACGGAGACGGGAGTGCAGTTAGGAGACAGCGATTATCACATCGCATTTGCGCGTTACCGTACACCCGATAACGCTAACGAGGTTGTCGCAGGTTCACGCACGTCGTGCCTAAGTAAATTGGCGAGCAAATGTTCGGCAAGCCCCAGCAAACCGGCCAATTCGATTGCGGGACACGTAGCAAGCAGTTCGAGAACGTAGAATCGATAATCGAGAGCCAGGCGACCGCTGCTGATTTTTCTCTATATCTCATTCGTTCATTCGCGCTCAAGCAACCTCACCCTTTCACGAGCCTGATCATTTTTAACCGTCACCTTACCTAAGCGTTCGTCGTTTGCAAGCGTAGTACCCTTGTTACTCTCGAGATATAATTTTCAACGTGTTAAAGCGTCAAGGCTTGTTCTCGCCAAAATACCACGCCGAGATAAGAGAAAAGATGAAAGGGAAGAACGTTGTCTCGCGAAAGCGCCAAGTTCGAGAAGTTAAATTGCGAAAGAGTTCGCGAAATCACATTGACCCAGTTCCAGTCTCGTACACCCTTTTGTTGGAGTTTCACAGGATCTGCACACGTACACGCACGTGGACGTGCACGGAACACGCGGTCACGGAGGATACGAGTGGAGGTTCTATTAGCCGCACATTCCTGCGGTTTCAGCAACATAACCGGATTACGACGCTTGCATAGGTGAATTAACAGGCAAATGTTCGGTAAATTCGTTCGTTGGTTTGACTACGGTACACGGCTTCTATCAGTGTTCCCTTTTCGGATAAATCAGCCTCTTGGAAGTTACTTTGATACACCTCCGGAGAAACTTGATAATGTTCGAAACTTTGGAAACGATAGCAACGTGACAATACGAAGTGTATTACTAAAATAACGTCACTAATTTCGAAAACTATTTCCGAGACAAATTATTCCAGAACCCCTGATAATTTCCAAAATTACGATCACATTTGGAAATGATTCTTCCTAAATTGTTCTCGAGCCAAGCAAAGTGTCTCGACTAGAAATATACCATCGTGCCCCCATAGTCGTTACTAATTTCCCGGAAAATTAATACCATCCCGTGTGCCCTGTATATATCAAAATTATCAAGAACAATTCTACTCCCTTGGAAAGTTAACTTCCTACGAACGGAAATAATTCTCTTGCTTATTTAATTAGCGATTTGCTCGTATAAGCTACTTATCATTTTCCTTTATCTCGATATTATGATAATATAATTAATTTATTACTTGTAAAATTCATCGTTTATCACTCATATACTATTATCAAATATTATACAATTAAGTACGCGAGTAAAAAGTAGAAATTTAAAAAAATTAATTCAAATTTTCCCGCGTAAACGTTGATACATTAGTGGTCATTTCCGCCCAGGATGTCTAAGGAGAAAGGGGGGAACCCAGGGCATCATCGTTATCCCTGGGAAAACCAGAATTGATCACGAGTCTACTTGTTAATCGCGTAGTAAAGTTACCGTCTCGAAAACACGAAACAGCAACTTTCTGCACGGTCGTGCGTCAAAAGTTTCCGTCAGAGAAGCCATTAAACTTTATCTCGTTGTTTGACTCACCATTTCTTCGAGTTGACAAAAGTATCCCTCCCCAGGCGTTCTTCCCTTTTCTCGGCTACTTCTGCATACGATGTAACACGCAAGACAGTTTCACACCTGCGTCACTAAAAAATGCCACTTAAAATTCTCGACTTTTCTCACTTTTCTCAGCTAAAGTACACCCTTGTATGAACGCCACTGAAACGAAACGATCCAACAATTACAACCGGCAACGAGTTCGCGAATAAACATTATTCACACGATTGGAGGTTTCGATTGAAGTTAATACGATTAACACGGAAGGATTGCGACACTTCGGTACCGAATATTATATAATTTGAAGAGAATTTGATATTATAGAACGGACAATTAAAGGACGCACACGAGTTTCGATGCTCCGGGAGAAACGCGCGAACGGAATGGCGCACGTGATCGAGTACTCTCGAATCGATATTGGTTCGCGAGTTCGACCGCTAGGGGCGTGGCTCTCACAGCACAGCGCCAAAATTCAAGTACAAAAACACTGTGCTATAATATTCGAAATAAACTAAATATAAAATTAGTGTGAATTTAATTACTGTAGGATGTAGATTAAGTAAGAATAATTTATTAGATACATTTTAACGTTAATCTTACTTGATAAAAAAGTAAAATATTTGCAACTAGAGCTCGTATTAAATAAATTCGAGCATTCTTACTATTCTAGATGAGTAACCTTCGTTATTTTTTCGAAACTTGGAGTTGTAAAATGTTGAGCATATTTCAAAATTAATTTTTCAAGATCAAAGACCAAACGATACCTCGTCATCTCTAGAGATCGGAAATGGAGCACCTGGAATGCGTTGTCCCTTTTCGCAGGAGGAATTCCCGAGAGAGATTTCCGTGAATTTAAGGCGCGAGCAATAGTAGATTTCCAAGTGGAAGGAAAATCCTGGTATCAAAGAGGAACTTCATCCTGCACAGATTTCCGCTCCTTTCATGTCAGCGAACCCGGAACGTTACTGCGTGTAATATCGTTCAGTCACTTTTGCTATGAGCTAGCAAAGTCATCGATCTTTGCTATTTTAAAGGTGAAACCGCGAAAACTGGTTGCCGAATATACGAACTGGACAAGCTTCCGATTTTAACGAAAATTATTACGTAACCATAATATCAATAATATCAGCATTAATAATCTTAATTGAGATGCAAATGTAATGCAAATTTTAATTGCAATTAAAATGAATAATTTTTTTATATTTTTAAGCTGAAACTCTCAAATGCAATACTATTATAAAAAGGAATTAAAAATTGCATAAAATCAAAGATTCCCAATTACACGCCAGACGATTCATTAAATAAGAATTTTTTTAAAAATCTGATCTGAATTAATCAATTTCTCTCGGTAAATATAAAGAGAGGCTCGTTACAAGGTTCTATGTAATACCGATAAAAAGCAATTTATCAGCTACCATGTGCTAAAAGGATTGTCAAGCACGAGTGTTCCAACACCTAGTTCGAGCATGGCAGAGAGGGTACACGAACGTTTTAACGAGTGACGATTAAACGACGAGAAAGGTGTACGCTGTTAACGCGGACAGTTACGAGCAATTGATGAGTAGTATTGTGTATCTAATAGCCGACTCGTTTGACGTTAAACGAGCCATCGCTCTTTCCCGCGATCCTGATGACATTACATCAGCGCAGTCCAACCTAACCACCAAGGAAATTGTTCGAAATAGCTATGGAAAGGGGGGAGGTGGTGAGTTCGGAAAAGCTCGAGTGCGGTTTACGATTCGCGTGCAGTTTAATCGAACGATTTCACTGCATTAGATCCACCGGATAATGCTAGGGAGGGAATGAAGCTGGCTCTAATCGGGAGGAAATAATTTGTTTGGTCAAGCACCGGTTACGTGGAATCTGATTGATTGCAGATGATCGATCGGTGTAAACAGGCCGTGTCGAGGAATTAGGGCCCGTTCGCTAATTATCATAGTTAATCGCTCGATCATGATTCCCATTGTAGGGAAACCTGATCGCTAAACTTTAGACAGAAACTTGTGCTCGTCTCTGCAAGAATAACAAATTTCCAAGAACGGAACACGATCGAAGCTCCAACTTCCCCTTTCATCGCGTTATTTACGTTTCGACGAACCCGCATCCCCCTAAGGATTCACTTCACACGTACCACTCGCAGCCAGCCAGGCAACGCGCTTCAACGGCGTGAAAATCGAGTCGGAAGTAAAATCGACACGGTACCGGAAGACGAGGGATACGTAGACGATCAACGCGATTCCTCCTCTCTGCTTCCCGAATTTATCATCAGCGTGTTTTCGCTTTGAGATCGAAAGGCGTGCACACGTGACACACGCGAACGAACCTCTTTCTGTGCAGAGAACCAGGCTCCAGATGGAGGTCTACCGAGACACTGACGACTGCTCTCGCCACGAGGACATTCCCCGATTCTCAGGTGTACCAGCGACAGAGATACACCTGGGGGGCCAGGTAGAGGGAGAAAGAGAAAGAAACGTTCGCCGTTCCCGATCCTACTACCTTTGGCTGTTTCTTGGTCGCGCCTTCTTATTCCGCGTCTCTTTCCCTCGTTCGTCCCAGGTTTTCACGATTTTCTCCTTTGCTCTCTCCTCCTCGTGCTTCGACACGTGGGAGAGGGAGAGAGTGAGAGGTTCCCTGAATGATCACGCGAAGGCTTGGCACCTGGATTTGCTAAGCGTATGCACATACGAAATTTCTGTCACGGAATGATCAGCAACTTTAACGAGATCAGACGATTGTTAATTGGGAGGAGGTGTCATATTAGGGTCACTGGTTTCGCGTGTGTTTCAATATTGTCGACAATCGTGTGCTGGATTTTTGGAGAAAATTAATTACTTAACATCTTAATTTTATTTATTCTGAATATTTTCGTTATTTATAATAATTTGAAAAAAATAGAGGGCAGCAATTTGGTAAAAAATCAATAGTTAATGAGATATCTTTCTACTATGCCTTCATCCATTTGAAAGATATTAGAAAATTATTAGAATGATTCGTATAGATTACAGAATAAAATGAATCGAGACTTGTGTGCTACTGAAACATACTGTGTATCTTTCATAAAACTATAATCAGCTATCTGTTCATGAAATATTGACTTTCATTTTAGAAATGGAGAAGTGTAGATCGATTGGGTGATCAATCAATACGATGGACTTGTTAGTTGATTGCACATCGATGAACCAATATGCCGGTGCGATGAATCTACGAAAGTTACTATCTGATTTAAATAAATAATTTTTAAAAATTCCAATATAATATTTTCAGTCGTATATTTATTGGGATAGATCGAACAGAGAGAATGTTGAAGGTGATAGGATGATTTCTAATTGGCGTAAATAAGAAGAAAACGTGACGACCTTTGCCATTATTTTCGTTTACACAATTCTGAATCGCCGAGGGGAACTGATCCTATTTTTCTCGATGTAACCACATTCCAGGATGACCTGGAATTCCGCACCTTTATTGGAATTCACCTTCTGGCATTACATTGGATAGTACTAACGCCGCTCAAACTGTACCTTCTCCTTTCTTCCACCAGTTATTCAATTACACAAAATTCTACGCGTTATAATTTTTCTAATTTTTATTTTACCAGAATTATTTGAAACGAAATATCAATTATTCACGCGTTCCTTGAAATTACTCGAGAGTATTCCTCACCAATTTTCTCTTTAAACTTTCCAGAAACTAAATTCCAACGAGACGAAAAGGCAACAAAGTTTGCCGAAATCGTTTGCAAACTTGAATGAAACGAATAAAGTGTGTTACTTTTCATGGGGCAATCTCAACGACAAAGACTGACGATTGAATTCGAAGCAGAGAGGGTTAAAACCGACGGCGATTACTCTGCAAGATTCGACCGAGTGGTCGATCGAGTGCGGGTCATTTAAATAATTCGGCAAAGTTTTATCGAGTGACGGAGTTGCCGGCGAACGCTCCGACGGGAAGTTCGGTAAAGCGAGGGTAATTGGGAATCGTGGGTATTCGATGTTAACACCCCGCTTCGCGAATTTACCATCAGCCTCTGTCTCGAATAATAAGGGTGGAAGTGGGCCGACTTCGGAAATCAATAAATACCAAACGCACCCTACAAACTTTTCTACTATTACCAGTTGAGTAGACTGAACAATTGAAAAACTGATTTCCAGTAGAACGCCCTGCTTTCTACGTGGATTAATCCCATGCACGCGTCTGCATCAAGGTAAATTGCTTTTTCATGTTGTGTCCTGAATCTTCCTGCCCTGATTTTCTTTTTCTCTTAAACAGATAAGAATTATTCAGACATATAGTAATTTAATTTTACAAGTAACGTTATAAATACTTAACCTTTTTTATTATGTAAAATAATTATAAATTTTTAAAATACTCAAAGTTTAGAACCCTTGGAGTGGAATTCATATCAAAAAATAATTTTCCCTACTTTGATTAAAACATTAAAATTCTACGTTTTATTTTCTATTTCACCAAGTCAATATTTAATTAATATATATATATTTTTGGAATTAAGATATTTTTCTGGAATATATTCATATTTCTAAGGACGTTAACATAGTCATCCTGCGTGACGACAAAAAAAGGAGATAATGAAACTAGGTCGCTCGACGTCTGAACACGAAAAGAATTTCAAAATGCAATGCGTCACGCTTCGTGTCACGTAATAGACGTAGAAGAAATGAATTTGCAGACCGATATGAAGAGGATTCAGAGAAAAAGGGATTCATAGTCTCTATAAAAAGGAGTGTCCTATTATCGTTTTTCCACTGGTGGCCTCCTCAATCATCGCCTTGACTGTTCATTAACCCTTTTGCGCCGCGCTACATATGTAGGACTTTTAATTTTCTTTCCTACCTTTCTTTCTCTCGTTCCGCTCTATTGTTGGACACAGGCTGTCCTGTTACTACTGGCCTCCGGAAAATAACCCCGGCTTTGTACGGCTGACATTTCGTGCAATTTTTCAGACACGTTCTCCGGTTGGACGCTAACGTCCAACGACAAATAAGGCGTCAAGAACGTGAAAATTCAAGGGAATATTAAAATCCTCGAACTCGACAAAAAAATAATTGTCCAGGTGAGAAAATAACTAAAGTTAAAATGGATTTCTGATGAGATGTTAATCACTGGAATTTAAATTTTTATGCAAATATACCATTTTTGACGAAATATAAATTGGATAGTGGTAAATGCAAAGCCTACCTAGGAGGTTGAAATATTTGTGAAATTTTTCGAATTTAAGGAAAGGAAATATTTGAACGATAAGGTAGCTTTGCTGTTCCTTAATTTCATATTCTCTTGCATTCTAAAGTACTCGCCGCGACTTACTCCAGAAGAAAGTACGCTGGGGTGAAAACAAAAAAAAGTGAATGGTTAGGTGGTAAATGGAAGGAAGAGCTGCAAGAAGAAATATCTCTCGAGGAAATTAAAACGTCAGGTTGCCTCGGGAACAGAAGCTTCGCTTACTTATTTATTCCATTATGAAAGCTTGCGGTTGTTTCATTGCATAGGTGGAAGTGTACCCGTTCGCTGTATACACACTTTTCTCATCGGTGTCACTTTAGAAATTCTCTATTTAACGTCTCATCTGGGGAATATCTAAGGTATTAAAAATTACGCGCATTTAAACGTAGCCGAGTCCCACGCTCGTAATGAACGCACAAACAAACCAGTTCCCTGCTCGAAATTATGCTGAAACTATTAAATAACTTGTCGTGTAGATTCGTTACTTTTTCGAGTAAACTTTATCCCGCGTATCTCGATGAAAACGTAACAAGTTTTAATTGCCGTGTTGCGATAAAACGTAGAGACCGGTGCGAAAGTCATTAAAGGCTTTTGAAAATTAATATCTTCTACAAATTTAATTTTTCCTCCCTTTCATTTTTTTTTTTTAATCAACACCTATTAGTATTATTAATATTTCCAGTTTTAATACTAATACGAGAATACAGTTCTTGATTAAAGTAAATGATTGATCAAATTTAACAAATTTTTGTCCCTCCAAAGTGTGTAAAATTTGAATATTAATAAACTTAATATTTCCCATTCATGTATTCCATCGAACAATTATTTACAAAACGTTCGTATGGAAGAAAAAATCACTGTGTTCGGTTGGACGAAAAGGAAATATTATTATATGTAAATTCCTGTTGAATTAACCGAGTCCCGTTCATCGTGACCGCCACTTCATTCTCAACAATGCAATTCGTGTATGCATATATGCATACGTAATATGAATAACGTATAATACAGTGATATTTATCATCTACCAGCAAGATGATTCCAATGGTCCGCAATTTATTCGAGCAAGCCAATATAGAGGCAGGAAGCGAGAGGTCTGATTAATTAACGGCTCTTGCTCGCATTCGTACTGTGACATTTCGTTATGCGAATACGCTTTGTTACTCCGTTATTGCTGCGCTAATTCATCCGATCAGTCATTTATTAGCTTTACACACCCAGGACGATGTAATTCTACCGGTTTCGACGTAAGCAAATGCAATGAGAGACCTTTGCCAGCTTTCTGTCTCATCGTTTATTGGGAGACGGGTAATGAGAGATTCTTCGAAGGTTTCCGCAAAATTCATCGGTCTATGAATTTGTCAGCCTCATTACCGTGCAATGGTCGAGTGGATTAATTACAAGAAACGTACAGGATGTTGGCAATCTTCTTCGACACCACAAATAGATAATTTATATTATTAACAATTATTTCATTTATGCCCTCCACAGGCCAAAGTGATTAACTTTACTTTTTTAATTTTTAAAAATTTTAGCATCAAAATACTTGATTGATTTACAATTTTGTATATTTTATCAAGTTCTCTATTTCTTTTTTTTTAAGTTAATCAATTTGGCAAATGAACAGCTTCTCTAATTAAAGATGTTCGTATTGAGTTTTTTCTAATCTTAACATATAAGTTATAGAAATTTTTCTTCTGATAATAAATTATCAAAAGAAAAATCCAAAATACTATACTTAAAATTCACTTTTTTTCATTGTATTAGGTACAGATGAAATATATTTTAGAACAACCATAATATCGCTTTCATATTGCAATAAACTAACAAAAGAGGAATATTCGCTCTAGGTATCTTGTCCCTGTAACTTTCCTGTCGTCAGTTCAGTGAAAATTCAGCTTGTTCGAAAAGCTCGCTAGGGGCGAACACAATTTTTAAACGAAACATTAAACACCGACGTTGCTGGTGGAAGTTCGCAATATTCTGTAGAGCAAGCCATGTATACATTTATGATATCACGCCGGTGTGTTTAATGGATGGGAATGTTTATGGGATCTTTCGATACACGAAATAGAAGGAACCGATGAAGATCGAAGATACATAGCTTGTGTTATAACTCCACACGAAT